GTTAAAAGAAAATAAATTCCTGTATCCACATCGTGATCCAGAACATCACCAAAATTTAAAGGTGTGTTCCTTGGTCCAGTACACACATTTGTTGTAAATGTCATGACAATCTGTCCACAAGTTTGTGAGTCATGTTGTCCACAGACAGACAGACAGACAGACAGACATACGTGACTGAAAACATTACCTCGTCCTTGGTGGAGGTAATAAAGCTTTTTGTAAACAAATGGTCATCAGAATCCAGATGGATTGATTGTGTTTAGAGGAAAAGTTTCATGTTGTTTTTTACAGTGTGAACATCAGCTTCATCTGTCCTCCAGCTCCTAATAAACCAGTTCCTGCAGAAGTGAACGCAGGTCTGAAAGTRTTTCTGAAGGAAACTCCTCCTCAGCATCTCCCTCTAATCTGTCAATCCATCTGTTTGCTGTTCAGACGTGATAAAACTYCCATCCTCTGAACGTCTGCAGCTGCTCACATCAGATGTTCCAGAAGCTCCTTTACCTTCAGCAGTAAAGCTGGTGGAGTGTGTCCTGCACCGTTTGACTGCAGAGACAAACGTTTAAACACTGGAAACCTGTCGGAGGCAGGAGACAAAGCCTCGGCTGCTTTCAGGGTGAATTAAAATAAGCAGCTTTTCATCTCAGGAGAGGCTCCTCGTTTTCAGCCGCGATGAAGGTGAACAATCAGAGMGCGTTCAGCCCCGGCGTGTGGAGGTCACACTCATCTTTTCTGAGTTCTTCAGCAGAATCGTTAAACATCCACACACGGACACCAGGGAGGAACTAATTCAAACRTAAATGCAAAGTACCAGAGAGGCTCTGAAAGCCGTTTGTCCTCTTCAGCTCTGGGAGAAAAGTGCTGAGAAGTCTGTGTCCAGCTCAGAGAAATGTGCTTTCAGGACACGTCGCAGGGAAAAGTCACAGAAGCTGCTGGTTAGCACCGTCTTTTACCTTCTGACTCTGTTTCTGTCAGCAGCTTTGATTTGTTCACCTGCTTCACAGAAGTTCAGTCAAAAATCCATCAACACGTGTGTTTGATCAGGAGCAGAGCTCTGGTTGTTGCTCTGGATCGTTCTGCATCAACATAAATCTGTCAGAAAGTTTAAACATTTGTTACAAGTTCTTTCTTTTTCAAAATAAAATTAAAATAAGAAACAGATTATTTGTTGGAATGATATCAAGTTTTACACTAAAATCATCTCATGTTGAGGAATAAAGTGACGCTGCACAACATTTGTGTCAAAGTTATGACAGTAACTCTGTTAGCAAAATATCTCCCAAACAACTGGACGGACTATACTGAAACTTCCTGGAAATAAAATCGAATGTTCATCGTTTGGAGCCAACACTGTAAAAAACTGTCCATCTAACCAAGTTTTAAATCTTATATCAGCCAAAAAGTCTTTTTGATCTTGTTTTCAGACTGATTTACTAAACAAGAACTGATTGTGTAAGAATAATCATCTTGTTTTCAGAATGTGTAAGATTATTTGTCTTGTTAGTCTGAAAATTTGACTCTAATTAAGTCAAACATTTCTGCCAGTGGAGTAAGAACATTTTACTTGAGCATCGCTGGATGCAGTTCCATGTCTAAACACTAGAGGCGCTATAGAGCCTAATAGGATGCAGTTCCATGTCTAAACACAAGAGGCGCTATAGAGCCTAATAGGATGCAGTTCCATGTCTA